AATTATTTCTCTAGTCTCGCGATTGTTTACAAGTTGTCAAATTCGAAACGTTTTGATTGGTTCTTGAAACACAATGACACTTATCTAATTGGTTGAACACAAACAATAGGAAAGGAATGTTGTGCTCGGGTCAATCCAGGCCAATCTCGCAGAAAAGGGCAAAAAGGCCATGGGCAACAGTGGCGTTTTTCCCCCTAAGAATTGACGGATTGACACCTGACTCCAGATCAGAAGGTTGTTGGTTCAAATTATCCAAAACAAGAAAGAAAGGGGAAAAATGCTTCAAGGTACACTGCGAGTAGAGATTATTTTCATGAGTTCTTAGGAGTGTATTTAATATGAAGGAGCAGCAGGGAGCATATAAGGAGCAGTAAAGAGCAGGTTGAGAGTAGTTCAGGGAGGACATAAATTGCGGCGAACTTTGAAAGGAAACTCATTTGGTATTAGATCCAGTAGCAAGACATTCTCCAAAGGTTCAATCTAAGACGTCACTTGGACAATCATATTTGCAAAATGAACGATATAGAGGAAAATGAATCAACATATGATGAAGAGACGTCAAGCGAAGAAGTTGAAGAAGACAGTGAAGTAGACACGAGTGAATCAGAGTCATATGATGGTCCTGATGATGACGATGATGAGCCTGAAGAAAACTGCTGGTCAGTGTTGATAAAAGAAACTATGGACCGACACGAGATTGAATTAAAATCTCTGGAAAACCAGTACATGGAAAAAGGCGAAACGAAAGCATCGGCTGAAGTGCTTGCGTACAATAAAATGATCCCTGCATTTCAAAACGAGCTGAGAAACGTACTGTTGGAAAAATTGGTATGGATCCGCGCGTTAAGAAGGGATCCTTATTATTGTAAAATAATGAGAACCCGACGAGATTTACTGGACACTGGTGATTACGACTGGATGGAAGCAACCCAGGTTGCTATTGATCAACGTAAATTTCTCTTGAACAATTTATTCACTACGAAGCAGAAAACATGGAATAATAATTTGTAACAAGGAATATAATAATAGTTTGTTATTACGGATAAGACCCTATTTGACAGGTAAAAATGATGGTGCCTGTCAACACTGCAATGTTAGAGCTCGAAATCATATCAAACATGTACATTAATTATGACACCAACTTCATTTGTAAGAAACAAAATATTTTATTTCACTTTTCAATAAATGCTACAGCAAATCCAAAACAATAACAATATGTCTTTGGTATATATATTTTTTCTATGACGGCGGATAATAGTACATTCGAGATCCCCAACTGGGTACTTGCTGCTGTCCAGTAGCTAATCCACTTTGCTGTTCCCTTGTTGTCAGTTCCATTTCCGGACCGAGCGCATTAAAAATAGTGTCCAGTTCAGAAGTGGTGAAAATTCTTGGTAAATAATC